GAATCCTGTTGGTAACATGACGGTGTAAAACAAAGTGCATAAATGGTGGGAAGCAGTTTGCTGGCCATCCATGGAATATCCCATCATCCTGTAACTACACAACTGACCATATGACCAGACACACATAAGACAGCCGGCAAAGCACAAAACCCACTCATACCTTTATATCTGTGGTCTTCTGCAATTGATTTTGGCCTTAGTCCTCCTCCTAAGCCCCATCCCCTGCCCACCAATTTACTGCAAATGTAACACAAATAATAAACACAAATATATTAATATCTCACTTGTTCCTGTCATGGTGGGACCCAGACGTTTTGACAGAGAGATTTGTGGAAGACAGCATACAAATACAATTGAGAGCCGCTGATGTAAATCAAGCTTTGTGCTGACAGTGAATCTCTTTTTTTTAATCTGACACAACAATTCACAACTAAATAAAGTATTATTTACTTACAACTAGGCTTTGTATCCCTCTGTCTCATTGTACACTTCTTGTACACTTTCCATTTTCACCTAACCAGTGAATGTTCTTATAATGTCTTATAATGCTCCCGTTCAGCAGCCTTTACCTAATGCCCTTTTCCCTACCTGAATGAGACAATAACTCCTATAGTCTCAGAACGAGCATGACAATGCTGGCTGGGAGATGACAGAAATTGTAATCCAGCAAAGATGGAAGGCAACAGATTAGGTTGATATGTCGTTATAAATCTTACAGCCAACAACAGTCAATGTGTCAGATTAAGCATGTGAATACGGGAACTTGTGCACTAAACAGTACTGTCTCTTCTTTCCAATGTTGCTTCTTTCTGCTTCAGTCACCCGCCCTTCTCAAAAGCAATGCAGTAAAAGAATAATTGGATGAAATAAAATGCAACAGTCACTGGACAAAGTATAAGTTATTTTCATGGGGTGAAAACAAAGCACTTGTGTTTGGTAGACAGAGTATTCGTATTTGAGAAATGATTGTACTAGTTCTTCATTTTACATAGAAAAGCCCCAGACAAAAAGCACCAATGATTCCGTCTAGACAGTAAATGGTTTATATTGAAATTGTTTAATATTAGTGTGATGAGCGCATTAGTAATTTTTAGGGATAAGGAAGCTACCTATTCCATATTTCCGTAACTGATACATATATGCACTTTAAATACTGTAATGTCGACCTACAATCCCTACCAACCACTAATGCACACAAAATGCATGTATTAGCAACAATAATGTACAAAATAGCATTTTGGATTGCATTAAGGAACAACTGTTCAAAAATATAGAGAGTAGGAGAAATGTGTTTGAAACCTTTGAACAAGACGTAACAAACTAAAGGCTGGAAAAAAGAGAAACTGAGTGAATCCAAAACTGACAGATCTGCCCATGCTGATCATTTAAACTTTTTTGGGCAAAAAGTGTATTAAAAAAAAAAGAAGACTTATAACTTTTATTCTTATCCACACTGTTACCCACACGGTTTCATACCTTTGTAATGAGAGGAACATGGATATCACATATCAAATCCAACACCCCTCCCAACACATCACAGTATTCTCAGTTCCCTCCCTCCACTACAAAATTGAGTAAATGTTAGGAAACTGTGGGTGAATTTGTTTTTAAAAAGTGTAAGAGACAGGGACATTAATTCAAGCATCAATCTAACAAAAGGAATAGGGAGCTGGAAGAGTTGAGTCCTTTTGTACATGTGAGAATGTCAGGAATTCCACTGTTTGGACTGGTTTTCTCTGCCAGACTTAAACGTCTAAACTTGGCCAGTCTCCAAACGAAGCTTCCAGCACTACCACCTACTTTCTTTGTATTCACTATGTTGAAATTTATCTGCCTGTTACAAATCCATTCAAATGCCTGTCTGTATCCACCTCCTATGCTTCCTATGTATGAGTAAAAGTGATAAATAATTCACTCGCCTTGCAAATCCATCTTTTGCCCTTGACACTCTGGCACTACACAAGACACTGTCCTGCACTCAGATACCTGCCTCTGGTTTCATAAAACAGGATCAGGAGGTGATAAAAGTCTTTGACAGTTTCTTAATATGCCTCTTCTGGCTTAAAATGGATATGGACAAAGTAAGAATGAATGTTAGTGGAGGTGCAATGAGTACTGTTTGGACTTCAGATTTTGGATACTTTGGCTGGCTTTGGATTCATGTCTGACTCTGCTCACTCTTCCCTATTCATAATACAACTGAGTGCTGCTATGAACATACAATAATGACTGTAAAACACTCCTTGCACTGTGCACAGTGTAAGTACTGAAAGACAGAAGTGACTTATATTCTTTTTTAAAACACCTCAAAATGGCTCTGCATCGAGCCAGAACTGATTTCATGACATGGAAATTCAGTAAGTGCAACGAATTTTGTGATGACATGGCAGAAAGAAACAGTGAAAGCAACAAAACCTTCCTGTCGCTATTTTGTTTTCTGTGCTGTACTTCACAAATTTGACCACAAGGGCAATGGTCAACTACATTTTTGGGCCTGCTTTATGCAAAAGCATGGCCTGTTTTGGTTTTAGGAAGTTTCTGTAGTCAGTCGGTCAGAACCTTTATTGGCATGCACAAAAGCCACATCTACAGGATAGGAACAAGCTATTAATTACTTGAATCTACAAGTTCATCATGTCTTAATCCAGTCTATATTCTCGTTTCTCTTCAGATCGTATAACTTTCTGTAAAAGTAAAAGCACCCCAGCCCTTCAAAACATTGTATTTATAAAGTTTAGAGATTAAAAACAGAAATCATGTTAAATTATAGGCTGACAGGTTCATGGAACTTCTATTTGTAGCAGTGTCCTCACCTTGTATACTCTCAGTAAATTGCCCATAATTTTTCCTGGGCCACAAAGTGAAGGAATGCAGAGAGGACAGCCAGACAGAGAGGGCAGCATCCTTGGGTAACTTAATTAGAACCAGATGGAAAAACCTGTGGAAGATCATGAAAAGGACAGCCATCTTAACAGACTGAAGAACTTCAAGGAAGCGTGGAGTAGGTGGATGGGCAAGACGACACAAGAGCAGAGCAACAAAAGAGAAGAACGAACAGAGAGTTATGAGTAGTGTCACGCCAGGGCAGGGTTACTTTAGAGGACATGCAGTTCTGCCCTATATTACCCTAGAATTCAAAATGCACTACAGCTCTACATTTAGAAATGCAGATTTTATACAGTACTTATTATTCCCATCACCCTTCACTACTGGCCAGGGCTGGCAGAGAATGATGGGAATTAAAGTTTAGCAATATCCACAGACTTTCTAGACCGGCTCTGTAGGTCCTACTTTCCATCCTCCTCCAGGCTTTGGTTGATGTGATCCAGGATTATCAAACCGAACTTCAAACACTGACTCTGCAGTCAATCCCTGTTTTGTCATTGCCACGTTACATTAAACTGACCAGCAGGACTCTGGAATGAGAACTCAAATGACACAACCCATTTGTCCCACTCCCATTACATAGAAGTTAAGTGTAATTTGGTTTATAATATGAACGGTAGAAAAACAAGCATGGGAATTAGTAATATCATACAGAAAACCAATCCTGAGGAACAGGATCGCAGTAACCCATGAATCCAAAAGAACTAAACAATATCTCTTAAATATGGTGTGCCTTGGCTTGCTGTATCATATTTTTACAGAAAATACTCTTATTATTTCTATTGCCATAATAGGAACCATTGTACATATAAGATATTCAGAAAAGGTGATGATTTCCAAGTGTCTGAGGCTGTGAACCATACTTCACCCTGTACGTCAGGTTGTTCAGCATGTTATGTTTTTAGCTGCTATGGTAATTTAACAGTCATTATTTTCTTCCTCTTTCACATTATCAAATTTAGAACCAACATGAATCAATGCCACTTCAGATAAACCTTTGCAGGTGACTGTCTGTAAGTTTCAGTGAATGTGCACAATGAGTTGTGAAATCAGTGTATTGGGCTGCAACATCGGCACATTCCCTGGGACTCATTGTGTTCCTCTCCTCCCTTCTGCGGTCTTCATGTTTATACTTCCCTGCCTATTGATTGGCTTGCTCTCCAGCCATGATTCTGAAGAATCTACAAAAGAGGTGCCAAACTAAACACTGCCCTATAAATGGAGTGTGTGCGTGCATGCACACGCAGAAAAGAATGGGGGAAACATGCTATTATTTCCAATATTTTGTTCCTTTATCACTTAGAATCAGCATTGTAGCATTGTATCATCACATGTACTGCAAACACACTGTGGAGACCTTCAGTTCATTCAGATGAAGAGTCTGCAGTAGTAAAACACCTGTATCCGTAAGCATGCTCCCTATCGCTGACTCAAATCAGAAGAAACACAACGTGCCTCAAAACCAAACGACAGCACCCACTCCCGATTTGGTACAACTTCCTCCTTACATCAGAATAAGGGGAAAGGGCCAGACCAGCAGTTTTAAACTCACTTAAAACATTGTAAGACCCAGTAGTGTTCACTGTCCCCTCTCCCACCCCCTCACAACCCACATATGCAGTTCACATTCCTTCTTAATTATGCTCTTTATTACCTGCCTGTAAAATTACCCAGTCACTCTCTGGAGGCAATACAACTCCTGTAATTCGAGAGGGTACCACAGTCACCAATGCACCCTTCCCATCCCCCCTCAAAATCTTCACAGACCACCCAGAGCAAAGCTCTAGCAGTCCACTACTTCTTACAGGCACACATAAAAAATTCAAATACATTTAGGAGTGGAAAAAGGGCAGTTCCACTAAGCAACAGTATAATCCAAATGCACAGGAATGTATATACATAGATTCACACACCATCCTTCCCATTAAAACCAGACTCAACAAGACTCATTAAATGACCTTTAACTCAGAAATAATTTATTTCTTATTGTGCATCTAAAAGCAACCATTTACAGAAGCCACAATACCGATCCAAATTTATTTATCTATGACATAACGCTGGTGTGACAGAGATTCAAGCAGCTCTTACTGCTGCTTCTCTAACTTTTTACCTACTTTGATTTTCACACACTTCTACTGCTCTACGAGATATAATGCTTCTGTATCTCAGACTCCCATATATTTTTATATTTTTCTTGAAACAATCATATTGTTTCTCACTCTCACCAACAGTTCCTGTAAACAATTGGGCATGATTTTCACTGCTGCTGCCACCACTACCACTTAATTCCATTGATGAGCATCCAACAAGGTGCATCTTCGGAACAAACTGCTTCTGTCAGCAGACTAGGAAAGCACAATTCCTCTCCCCACTACAACCTCTGTGCCTCCCCCCCCCCAAAAAAAACCCCTACTGCGGAGAGCTGAGAAACTCTCTGAAGCCAGCTTCCAAGTGGCCCCTCTAGCTGAAGGGGACGTTATGCTGGAGCCACTGCAGCATCACAACCCTGCACTCCTTGACCTTTCACAGTCATCTTTCAAAATGGTAAAACCTTTAAAGCATCACTCGGGACACGTACAGTTCTCATTCAAACTATTTGCACAGCACTACTACACAAATATGTGAACTCTGACTGCAGCAGCATAAACATTTTGGCCGACCTCAGAGGCCTAACTTCAAGTAAGACATTTCCCCAGTTAGGCTCCTTTCAGACTTTCTGGGCTAAAGCTGCTGTCACCTCTAGCCAAAACAGGCACAGGCCACCATATTGGAAAGGAACCAGGTTGGAGACGAGCTCATGTGAGACACAGCACAGAAATGCCAGAGACAAATGGCAAAGGGGCAAGAAAACTCTGCATGGCTCAGTATTCACTTGCCAGGCTAACATATCTAATATCCAACTCAGTTCAAGAAAACCTCAAGCTTTCCTGTAATTTATTTGTATTTAAATAGTGAGCAAAGGCAGTGAAAGACACAAAGTCTCCAGTATCACAACTGGAATGATACCATTAGTGGAGTACTTCTGTTATGGACATTTTGGCATTCTGTTATGGTTGCAATGGCCAAAGAGGTCATAATACTCTTAATACTCAAAATGAACCATTTTGTTTAACACCACAATGTAAGATCACCACAATTGCAGGCACTTTTTATATCACATGCTTAGATATATATTTGAGATGTTCTCAATGTACTTTTGAAAATTCAACTGTAGATAGAAAACATATGGATTTGCAAATGTACCTACCCTAAAATAAACACTCATCATGGGGTAGCAAAATAATTTACTGCCATTCCCTGCTAAGCAGATACAAATATGGTACAAAATGGTACCAATGTGCGGTCATATTTCTGGTCACTTTCAATAACATTATATAGACCTCCCTACATTTTGTTAACTAAACGTGAAAACATCATTCAAAAATGCATTTCCAGAATAATGAAATGCAAAGGTGTTTTCTGACTGTCAAACCTCAAAGCGGGGAATGAAGGGAGCAAAATAATTTCAAATAGCTCAAAGATCATAGGAGCTATTCTGCTGCAGGTCCATAGACTGAAGGAACCACAGCCTGCATCTTTTTTATGTAGGGAATTCGGACTATTCACAAATAAACATTGGTGCCTTTGCACCTGCTGCTCCCCAAACATGACTTTTGGAACAGAAGGAATTCTGTTTGGCCATGTACCATATCGCTCCACATTCCAAATCTTGGGATAATAGAAGACACCATTAGAATAGTGTGCAGAGCATGTTTCAAGCCATCTGTGTTAGCAATGAAAAAAAATCCATGCATTCTACGTTTTCTTAAGGTATATGAGGGTCAATGGTGATAACATTAGCCTTCTGCTCTACCAGCTCCGTGATCCAAGGGCTATCTCTCTACTATTTTTTTTATTATCTTTCTCTGATAACTTCTGAAATCAGCATCTTCATCACTTGCTGAAATGTTCTGGCCTTTCACTTGGGCACTATTCTTTCCAGCCTCTCCACCCCTTCCCCTGCCCTCTCCTCTGCCCATGCCAGCTGTGCACATTGGCTTGGATGGAGCCATTGTCTTCTGAACACTGGGACAGAGGAGGAGGGGAAGGTGTGAGCAGCAACACAGAGGAGCATTTGTATGATCCTCAGTACTCCCCCCTTGAGCCACAACCGTCAATGGCCTGCTTGTCAATTCATGCCCTAAGATGGAGGAAATCACAACACATACAAACATCAGCATTTGGTGATTGTGAAGGTGCCTGCCTGGAGACACACATTGGGTCATTTATAGCATCAATTTCATTTTCATAGTCTTCTCTGTTAACAACATAACATTGCATGTACTGTCTCAGGGTAAGAGATGGAGAAAACTGCAGGCAAACATGCTCATTTGAAAAAAAAATATGACAGTTACCATCTTACTAGACTATATTCAGTTCACATCGCCCACCAGGACAATTGGTAAGAAATAACCAAGATTATTCCTTTATTTACAAGGACGTGGTGGCGCTGTGGGCTAAACCGCAGAAGCCTGTGCTGCAGGGTCAGAAGACCAGCAGTCGTAAGATCGAATCCACACGACAGAGTGAGCTCCTGTCGCTTGTCCCAGCTCCCG